TCAAAATCCAAACCATATATATATATATATATATATATATATATATATAGCGTGATTGAAAAGTCATTGAGAAGAAAAAACAAACAAAATGTGAAAATAATAATTAACTTTCTAAATTGTATTGTTATAAGATTAAGAAATATACATTTCATACATTGTAACTTATCTTCCAAGGGATGCAAACCTCACCCTACAAGCCGGTTTTATGGGGTTGAGTTAGGTTTAAAATCACTTTTTAATGTGATATCAGAGTCATGGCTAGAGCATATCTTAACGATATTTCTTATTTTTTGAACATTTCTATTTCATCCATTGCTGGGCCACTATCGGACCACCCATTTCTACTATCACGCTCAAGATGTTTATATCTCGGCGTGAAGGGGTGTGTTTGAAGTCCCACATCAACTAGAGATAAAGTCAAATTATAATATATAAGTGGCATGCAAACCTAACCTTATAAGCCGATTTTGTGGGGTTGAGTTAGGCTTAAAACCACTTTCTAATATCTTTATTATTATATATGATGTTTAACTTTTTTATTAAAAATTTAATGTAAAACTTAGATTAATATTTGAATTTTTAACCATAACGTCCAAACCCTAATGTTCTATTGATTTTCAGCAGTAATATCTAAACCATAATGTTCTATTCCAAAAGGAGAAAGGAACTAAAAAATTATTTAGGAGAAAGAAGTAAAGAATAATTTAAAAAAATATATATATTTGTTCCAACTCAAGATAATTAAGTAGAACTTTCACTTACAGCTATGATATGCTACGAAACATCATATCTTTCTCAACTCAACTAGCACTTTGAAATTAGTTCACCTTTCATTATTGAATTTATTTTCCAATTAGTATTAGTATAGTTCACAAACCATAATTAATGGTGAACCAAATGAACCCTTTATATACTACACATTAGCAAAATAAATTTATACGATCAAATCTATAGACCCACTTAGCGTATAGATTCATGGTAGAAGTAGATAGATTATAGTGTATAAATTAATAATGTGGTTGAACATAAAGAATAATAGACCATAAAAATAAAGAAATAGATGAATTTACAGTCATCAAGTCATCCACGTTGTGCTGAATCATTGAATGTAGTAAACGCGTGAAAATTTGACCTGGGAGATTCCTATACATCACAAAATGCTTTCATACACACTTTAATAACTTCTTTTAATAAAAAGGTTGAATCAGAAGCATCGTCTCCGACATGCATGTTTAACCTAAAAATATGTAGGTCAGTTGAAGGCTAGTATACCACATATTTAATTATTTAAATGTTTTTTTTTTAATTTATACAATTTATAATGATTTATGTTTTTACTTTTGATATTTTAGTTTCCAAAATATGTTTTATATTTGTTTTATTTCTATTTATATTTGTTAGAATAATGAGGTGGAATCTTCACGTGGGACGTGAATGTTAGAGATGGTGGTCCTTAGTCCGGGAGAAAAATACGAAAGGTTTGGTTGCTATGGAAAACGAGAGATTGCAAGCAAGAAAAATAATTCATAGACAATATTGCTTTTATCTACATCTATTACATTTATACATCTACTTTTCCTCTTAACCAGGGACCCTATATGACCTTTTAATACAATTTTTTAAAAAAATTTAAGAAAAATTTACTAATTCTTCAATACTATGGTAGAATATTTATATGGTATTTTTCTCTCATTTTACATATGAGATACATGTTCCCTCTATTTTTCTGAATAAATTTTTTGAATTGCATATTGTATCAGCTTGCTTGAGCTTTCATAGATGGAGATAAAATAAAACATTTATAATAAACTGTTAAAGAGATGTTAAATAAATAATAAAATAAACAAGTTAACATCAACTTAGTAACTAACCAAATAATTAAAAATAATAAAGTTAACGTGGATTAAGCAAACACTTACTAAAATAAATATTAATAAATAAGGTTAATGTTGTTTAACTACTATTAATCTTATTTATATTTAGTTCAAATTTGATATAAAAGTTTCAATTTTCATATCAGTTATTACTAAGTATAAAAAATCTCACTTTATATACATGTTATTGTTGCATGCATGCACATTTTCTTCATTTATATATTTCTCTCACATTTTCTTCATTCATATATTTCTCTTCATTTTTAATACACATTTCTTTTCCAAATTTCTCCGTCACACACATTCATCTACGTTTATCTTCTCCATCCATTAATTATAATTATTTTCATTTATATTTATTGAATATGAAGGTGTCGTATAATAACTTTTATTTTTTGTTTAATTATTTCGGGGGTCCTTATTTGTGCAGAATCGTCTCAAATAGGTCCTCATATTTTGTTTGATCCCAATTAAGTATCTTTTTCTGTAAAATTGAGTCAATTTTTACTTTGTCTTTAAATTTAGTGGACGACGTTAAAATTTGTGTATCTTAGCTTGCTGACTGCGCAAATTTTAATGAATGTGTAATTTACAAATGAAAAAGTAAAAGATTAAAATGACTAGGATTGACCAACTTTGACTAGATGGACGTAGCCGATGAGGGACTGCCATGTGGCAACCCCCTTTCTCCCAAATTAGGGTTCTGCAGATGAGGCAAAGGAGCTTGCGACGCGTCGCACACAAAGAAGAACGAAGGCGCTAGAAATTCCTCCCATGGTGGCGCGTTGGATGTTGGTGCTTCTTACAGGTTCGATTTGGGATTTTACGCAATCAGAAATAAGCATTGATTGATGGAAGATGAAGGCGCTATAGTTTCTGTGATTTTGGAAATGATTCGCAGGTTTTGGATTGTTGTTGGTGGTGAGGCGTGTTATGAGTATATAACTCAAGCCGTTCGGTCTTTCACTCGTTCTTTCTCTCACATTGTTCGGTCACTCACACCATTCGGTCGATCACTTCATTCATGCACTCACTCAGTCTCGGTCACACAGTTCGTTCAATTTCTCTTCTCTACCTTCCTAACAAGGCGCAAGAACGAAGATAGGTTGATGATTCTAGAATGGACAAACACGCTGGTTAGGATCTCTGTTTTCGCTTTTCGCAATTGTGGTTCCCTCTTTGCAGGTTGATGAAAGCACGAGGGAGATGGTGGTTTTGCCTTGGCTATTGGCAATGCGATTTTATGTTAGGTTTCTCTACGTCTGATTTGCAGGTGGTGATGGATGAAGCTTCGTGATGGCACGTCAATGGAGGAAGCTTTGCGTTTATGGGTTGGCTATGGAGGAGATCACGATGCGATTTGGGGTTGGTTTCTAGTGGCTGATTGTAAGCGTGGGCGACGCGATTTGGGTTTGCTGGACGACGGTGACAGTTAGGCTGTGGCGGCGAGATGCTGATGTTGTGGCGCTATGTTGGTGTTAGGTGGTTGAGACATTGTGGTGGCTGGTTCTGCGTCGGGGATTGGGCAGTTTGGGTGGTGCAACGACGAGGTTGGCGGTGGCTTGGGGTTACTCATGGTGCTAGTTGGTCAATCCATGGAGTTCAAAATTTAAAATAATTAAATTCCACATAACTTTGCCACGTCATTAAAAATTGCACAGTTAGCAAGCCAAGACACACAAATTTTAACGTCGTCCACTGAATTTAACGGCAAAATCAAAATTGATTCAATTTTATAGAGAAATGGACCTAATTGGGATCAAACAAAATACGATGACCTATTTGAGATAATTCTACACAAATAGGTAGTTAGTGTTATTAGTATTAGCCAAAACTGACACAAATCAAACTAATATTAAATATAAATTTTATTTAGTGTTAATTATTTTTAGAAAAATATATTGTCATCAAAATTATTTTAATTAAAAAATCAATTTAAAACTTATTGACGTTATTTTCAAAATTATAAATTTAAAATTAATTTTAAAAATTTGATCAAAATTAATTTACAATTAAATTGATTAAAAATATTTTTAAATTTTTTTATATAATTTCACAGAAAGATAAATGTCTTTTTTTTCTTCTTTAGCACCGAGTATAGATCCTGAACCCCTGTACATAAGGGTGGGCATACCATCCTACAGAATAAAAAATCACTAAATAAACTCGACCAAACATTTGTATGGTTAAAACGTTGAAGTCAGATTGCATCAACATTCCAAATTAGATTTTGTGAAGAAGATCGTAATCTTTTCTTTCATAACACGTGCACGTAAACGCCACTGTTATGGTGTAGTTTAAAAGTGGTAAAATTCTTAAGCAAACAAGATTCATTAATCTTTCCATTATCTTTTCAGCACTATCAAATCTAAGAAACTTTAGAAGATCTTGAAATTTCCTTCAGTCTTTTCGCCAACACCTTTACATTTTTCAATTGTTTCAGTTGCTATCAATACCTATTTACGCGCAAAACTCCTTTCATTATCATATGGATTAAGGAACTAAACAAATATGCTACTAAATACAGTAGTCAGCCCACGTGTTGCCTAACTGACTTGCCCTTTCACAAACTTATGTTCCCCATTATACCTTAATTGGAATCCTATGCTCAAAATTTTGGTTAGTTTCATTGAACAACTTTAAAGCACACAACAACAAGGTTGCTAAAAACAACAAAAACAAAACAAAATAAAGCATGTCTTCAAAATAAATAATCAATCTACATGTAATCTATATCCTTAAATAAGGATTAACAGGTAATCAATCATACACCTGTTAGAGTAGCATTGCATCAAAAGCCACTTTCAAGGGAACACGACGCACTCCAGTTTGTTTTTATTTCATTTGTTTTGTCTTGATTAAAGATTATGTTGTGCATATGATGAATTCTACTTTAGCTAGCTGGAACACTTGTACTTGATTATTATATATATTCTGTGCTTAAGATTTCATTGATCCACTTGCCCCATTCTCACTGGGAAGGTATGAACCTGTGAACAACCATGTTTAAGACTCAAAAGCTGACATCACAATAGGAAAAATCAATTCCAAAGTTCTCAATGATAATTATTAAGATGGCCCGCTACGATATGGTATAAAAGTGAAGCATATATCAGTAATAGAAATCGCAGATGTATACGTAGGATCGTGTGAAATAATGGTAGCTATGATGGGTTGCCTGGCTAGAGAAAAAGGGTGGAAGAAAGGCCCTTGGACTGGTGAAGAAGACAAGTTGCTAAGTGAATATGTTAGCTTGTATGGGGAAGGAAGGTGGAGTTCAGTGGCAAAGTTTACAGGTATAATTAACTATTACACTTTCATTTATATATCATTACTTGCACCACGTTCTACCTTTTTTCACCTGATTCATTTATAACTTAATTGAATTTTAGGATTAAATAGGAGTGGCAAAAGCTGCAGGTTAAGATGGGTAAATTATTTGAAGCCTGGTCTGAAGAAAGGTCAATTAACACCTTTCGAGGAAGGAACCATTATGGAACTACATGCAATTTTGGGTAACAAGTAATTAGAACACCATATATATATATATATTCTCCTTTTTCTCAAATACTCAAACTCGTTATTATTTTAATGGGAATTTCAAAATAACACAGGTGGTCTACAATAGCAAAGTACTTGCCAGGTAGAACAGATAACGAGATCAAGAACTACTGGAGAACCCACTTCGGGAAGAGGGAGAAATCCAAACACAAGAAGCTACAAAGGCGACAGAAGGAACAACAACAACAACAACCTGAGAAGTGTGATTTCAAAAGCATCATGTGCCACAAGGATACCATGAACGGAACAAAATCGTTTGAGACACAAAATAGTAAGATACAAGAAATTGGATTGATGAACCCAACAATAGATAACCAATACAATAATACCGTTCCTTCCATGCACGAGGGTTTCTCATCCACGTGGCCGGAGGATGATGGCTTATGGTTTGGTTTATGGGACTTTGATGAACCACTGATGAGTTTTGCAGATTATGTTAACCAGTTTAGCAAATGTGTCATGCCAGATGAAGGCATATTTTCTGCTGGAGAGGATTCCACGCAAAGTCATGTTTGTTTTGATGATATATTTGGATGAACTTTTGTATGATTATGCAGCTTGTTGATTAAATAACCTCATCTTAGTATCTTTTTTTTGGATGAATGTCACCTACTTCAATGGATCCTTTGAAGGGTAAACTTGTTATTAAGGAATTAACAATAAGATTAATTATTTTCTCTCTCACTGGTTGCCTGCCATCACTTGCATTTTACTTAATTTGAGTAAAATATTAGAAAGAGAAGAAATAAATAAATTCAATGGATAGAAAATGCCAAGAAAAACATTAGTAAATTTGTTAAAGAATGAGTATATAAAATAATAAAAAAATACATGCAGTGTGAAAAGTTGTCTTTTAATGTTAGTTCACTGTAAATAATACCACCACTACTCTTTCTAACATTCTGTAAGAAATACATTAATAACTTCATTTTTCCTTAACAACAATATCTCATTTTCAGATATTTTTCACTATTTACTTTCAATTTTATGAAAATATATTAGTATAATAGTTACTACTCATTGATGAAAATATATTAGTATAACAGTTACTACTCATTAGTAAAATAGTTACTACTCACAAAATTTTATATTTTAGAATATACCTGCTTTAAAAATACATGAAATTTCAGAATACAAAACAAAAAATACATTTCAAAGTATATAATTTGAAATACAATACAATCCAAAATATATTTTATTTTATTTTATTTTATTTTTTAGAATACAAAAATAATATTTTATATTATATATTCTGAAATACAAAATAAAATATATATTTTAAAATTTTAAAATATTTTAAATTACACAATTTAAAATATAAGAATTTAAAAGGATGCCGGAAGAATTTATGGAAGTAAAGTGCTAAAGTTCTCCTTCGTAACACGAGCAACCCTTGAAGCCCACGTTCCTAAAGAAGATGAAGCCCAGTCCGAAATAGCCAGCCACATCGTATGGCCCAACTGTGTATCGAATACCTGTAATTTTCTCAGAAGGGTGTTGCTCCCTCCACCTCCACAGCCTTCTCCCTCCACCTCCCCAATTATCTTTAATTCCAATTATATCCTTAAAGTTAAAATTTTTTATTTTTATTATTTTATTATTTTAATATTTTAATATTTTAATATTTAAATATAAATTAATATAAATATACATTATTAAAATACATTAAAAAGATATTCAAAAATAATAAATCAAAATATTAAAATATCTAATAAAATAATAACAGAAACATAAAATTAAAACAAAGCTTAAACGGATGACATCCTTCAACGGATGTCAATATCCGTTTAAGGCAAAACGGATGTCGACATCCGTTTTGCCTTAAACGGATGTTGACATCCGTTGAAGGATGTCATCCGTTTCATTTTACGTTTTAGGGTTAAAGGATTATTGGAAAGATTATTGGAAGGATTATTGGAAGGGTTTAGGGTTTAGGGTTTAGGATTATTGGAAGGATTATGACTACGTACCTGGAGAGGAACCACGACAAGCACATTACACCACAAACGCACTGCACCACGTACTGCACCGAAAGCAAGAGGAAGATTGCTTGATAATTCTTTTCACGAGCTTTGCAGAAAAATATTTTACTCATACAAGGAACTACGTAGGTTATCAGTGAAATATGTTATAAATGAGTAAAATTAAAAAACAATAATTCTAAAAATAAAATTTTACTAAGGGGCAAAATAATAAAGGGGAGGTGGAAGGAGAAGGCTGTGGTGGTGGAGGGAGCAACACCCTTCTCAGAAAACAGGAAGGCCCAAGAAATGATATTCCATGAAAGAAAAATAGTGATTTTTTTGTAACTTTCAACTATTATAAAATTTGACTTAATGCTTTATAAGTATATTTAAATTCATTCAGTAATAAACTGAATTAATGGATTTTCATCCTTATGTATTATTTTATTTATTTTTAATTTTTAATTTATATGAGACTTACAGTCACTTGTACTTTCAACCTTCAAGAATTCAGATAAAAAAAAAAAAGAGGATAAATTTCATCATATAATAAAACATAAACTCTTTTCTGATGTCACGTCATAAGATGAAGAAAGCAGTATCCTCTCTCTTAAGAAAAACAGAAGCATTAATCATCCATTTCCAGAGGGTAGAATTTGTTCAATATTCCATGGGCACTTGCTGAACTATGGTTTTTTGGTGGTATATATGCGTCCATCTTTGTAAAGAATAAAGAGGGATAATGTTTTTGTCTTTCTGCATTTTATATTACAATGGTGGCAAAGTGCGAAAGGCATGGAAAGCTTTTGGAATGGGACCATAAGCTATGATATATTCGTTACGAAAATGAGTGATAGCTTGATGCTTTGTAGTCTAGGCTGTTCAATCAAGTTCAGACCAAATACTTTACAAAAATGAAGCAAGCATCATTTCCAAATGGTTAAATGTTATATTCCAAAACATGTGAATGGAAGATGTTTCCGAGATGCTTTCTGAAATTAATACAAAGTACACATTATTAGATCAATCTTTCAGAATCGAGTGCATGAAAATTGAAAATTCTACTGCATGCACCTTAATGACTACTGGATCGTAACCATTCTCTGCCACATTCTGGGTTCAGTCTTTCACTCGCTCCTTCAACAAGCTTTTACCAATTCCAATTTTGCAAGCAATCATTTATTCATTCCTCCTTTTAATTCAAAGCTAACTTGGATAAATAGCTTTGAGAACAGAGTATTCTTTTGTTGATATATCTTTTAGAAAAGAACCTGTTACATCCATGACAGAGATTTAGTTGAGCAAATTCAGCCACATTTTTAGGTGCATTTGTAGAAAGCTCTACCACAGATCCAAAATGTCATGCCTTGCCACGCTTGGAGAACCTCAATACATTTTTCTGCATCTCAACTTTTCCTTTGTTCCGTCTAATCATATCCCACTTACTCTCATACTGCTACACAAATTTAATCTAATGTAATTTAGTAACTTATTTATTTTCACAAGTTAAATTTTTTTCTTCTTCATCTTTCATTAGTAATATCATCCATGTTTTGATCCTAAAAACTACTGCATAATCATCTATATCATATTATTTACTTCACTTTTCTAACATGAATCCTTTCTCCTTTTTTAAATGTTTTCTGTTCACTTTAATGCATACTGTTTTAGGGTATGGAAATGGCATTTTGGAATTTAAAAAGAAGGTAAAAGATAGAAATGTTTATTATTTATTTATTTATTGAAGTGAGATTGAAGATGATGATTGGATGGAATGAGTGTTAGTGATGGAATGTGCAAGTCCAGAAATGGTTTTCTTTTCACGGAACGCGTCTTCTTCACGCTCACCCACACAAAATCCCATGACTCGGTGCTCCTCTTCTCCCCTCACGACACGTATCACGTACGACGTCGTTGCCATGTACCAGGCTTTTCCATCAATCAACTTTCTGTCACCTGCTACTACTCTTCTTCTTCACTCTCCCCCACTCTCCTTTACCGTTGCAAATTCATCACAATCAATCCATCTTCTTCTTTCTTTCGTTACAGTTGCACATCCAATCAGACCATTTTTATATTATCAAAATTCCTTTTTTTAATGCAATAACTACATACTCCCAAATCATTCCTAAATTCAAGAACTAAATATATTTTTATACTTCCTACAATGAATTAAATTTTTTTAAAATTTTACATTAGTTAGATATAAGAAAAAGTTATAATACATAAATAAATGTAATTTTTTTATTTTATAAATTGATTTTATGAGCACGTGTAGCATGATATAATAACGTACGAGTTTGTTTTTTTCTTTTGTATTGGTCTCAAAATGCGAAAACGGTACCTGAATTTCAAATCATTGTCAAAGAAGAAAGAAAGTAATAAAGTGGAGCAATTTCTTCGGCCACGAAAACAAAAACAAGATGTAACATGTTTATCTTCCTTGTTTGGAATGCAATAGCCTATGAATCTATCAATTCTTACACGACCCTAATCCAACTCTTTCATGTATAGAGATAAGAACAGAAAAAATATTGTATATAAAAAAAGAATGACAAAAGTTATATTATATTTACTTTCCTTTGTGAAATAATCATCTATTTAATTTTTATCTGGGCATTTCATGAGAACGAAGCAACAATATAAAATTACTTAAGTTCCATTTTAAGATATAAGTGTTGAAAATGCAAGTGTGAATCCAAGTCCGGATAGAAATAAGAAAGTAAAACACTATAAAACTGAAAAACTCATTAACCTATTGTTTTAAGGTTTTGAGTAAAAAGTGATGTTAATTCCTTATATGGTTTGACGCAGGGTTATAAATAAGCATGTTCCATTTTCATGGAGAGAAAGTATACCAACGTGGAAAGGAAGTTCAAGTCTCGTATTGGGAACATAGAAGAAAAAATGAAGAAGGGAAGAGTTCTTTTAGTTGGCTTTTTGTTATGAATACAGAGATGTCAAGATCAAATTACACCTAACCAATAACACCCTTCTGTCTAGCTTCAAATTGATAATCAGCCAAACAAATAATTTTCCCCATAAATGTATCATTAATTGGCTTTAAGAGATTGTATGTATGCATGATTCTCCTACCTTGGAAGTTTTTTTTGTATTCATCATAAAAGTGGTTTTGTACGTAGTCAATTTCCGTGTATGATATGAGAAACTATATTACATTAAGCATGTGTGTACGTATTGTAAAGGCAAGTTCAACAAAAAATAAGGAAACACAACACGAAAATTAGTACGACAATGGTTTGTTCAAAAATCTTGAATCTTTGCCGTGCTATAATAGTATTGCGCAGCTATATCCATATCCAATACCAAGAAAGAACAATTTGCAAGTTTTAACATCACCACGTAATATCATATCTCTTTTTTTTTAATTAGAAACCATTGTGTATAAATATAATATTCCATTTTAGAAGCTATTTTATATGAACAAAGATTTCTAAATAGTCTCTTGTAATCAAGAAAGTAGTTCCACATCCTGGCATAGGTAGGTAGGTAGGTGCTAGAAATCGTAAACTTTAATATCACATCTTATTTTTCATGGTGCTAATACAAGATAACAATGGCTTTCATTTTCAATGAAAGCAACTAATAAATACTTAGGATATTGACAATTATA